AAGTTAAATTTAACGGGCATTGCCAACAGCGACTTTCAAACTCATGAGAAAACCATGGAAGAATGAGAAAGGCATCTAGACGGTCCGCATGTGACCCCAAACTAACTGAACGGACAACAGCGATGGTCTATTTCAAACGTGCGTAAATCAGTTTGTTCTCACCATCATTTAGCACAATAAACGATACAGCCTTAAATTCAGATCAACCCACCATTATCAGCGATAAACTCAAATCTATCCCTAGCTTACCCACTAAAACTGCTTTCAGCTCATAGTAAAGCTTACGTTCAAGTGTCGTTTCGGTGAAATCAACGGAATCTGCCATAGATACATTGAGTCCTCCGTACACATACATCTGTTCAACCTTGAAGTCGACCAACCTCTAAATACAGTGCTTACTGAATTCCAGTGTTCAGCTTATCCAGAACCGACTTAAGACCGAACAGGACCTTACCGACGACGCGATTTTGGCTGGACGGCAGTTTCTATCATCTACATCTGGCGCATGATGGAGTGCATTGTATCGCATTCACCACACCACCTTTAAAAACCAATGACACTATTTTGTCGGTCACTGCGGAAGAGACGTCCTGCACCCAAACACAAAATGAAGGACTATGTGAAAGTTTTATTCATTACTTGAGTTCAGTGAGGCTTCTCGAATGGTCGAAATTCTGAAGCTCAAACGCTTGAAGACTGTACCATAACCACCAACTGCGTACTATGTGGATATTTTAGCCACAGAATCTAGCTTCACCCATTAGTGTACATGCGAAGCTCTGGTTTCACATATTTAATTCGTATTCTCGCAACCAAGTCGAAGTAAGGAAATAACCAACATTGGAAACTGTTATTATTTAACAAGCTGATGCAGGACTGATAATTCCAACCTCTCTCAACGATTTACTACCTCAGCGTATCCACAACTAATACCGATTTTACTTGTCCCCCAACAAAGAGGATGAGAAAGAAGAAAGTGAGAGAGAGAATTTGTTTACCAGTTTCGTTGCGCGAGTTCTCATTTTCAGTTCACATGGATCATTGTATTTGGAGCTGTTTCTTTCCATAAATGTTGTTATTAAACAGTGAAAGATAGCTGGATCATCCGTTTAAGAGAAAGAGAGAAACGAGCGACACGATTACAAAAACAGGGTGCAATCGGTTGTCAGTGAAACGCGAGAGGATAATCCATTTCCAATTGACACGTTCACAGCAGTATTGATCCCGAATGGGTGTAATCAATTTTTCTCCCTTGCAAACACACCCACCCACACATTAATATCCGTCAAACAGATCCTAGAAACCTCTTGTCATACAATCTATCGATTTGTCCTGCTCTGTCGACTGACCTAACAACCCAATCGATCGATTTGCTAACGATCTATAGACGATCTAGACGGAGCACAGAAACGACCATGCATGCCCATATGCTTGTAGCAATGATGAACAGTATGGCGTATGAAGTCCTCATGTGCGCTGTCCAAAAATGATGATTGCTCAGCCGTAATTAAAAGCATATAGCATGCCAAAACATGACATGCAGGTGCATACACACACTGACACATAGAGACCCAAATGGAGTAGAAGAGAGATACAACAAAACTAACTACCAGTTTCATGACCAGCACTGTCACCCAGAATGGGATGAAAATGCTGTCTTTTCGGGGTTCATCCATTTGTAGATGAAATAGCACCAACCCCGAGTGAATTGTTAATCAACAACCAAATAAACTGTTGTTTTCAATACTTTGGGTTATTCGATGTTGAGTACGAAAAATTGGCATCAATCGGGAGGTCGTCTGTTCAAATTCTAACACTGCCATTGAACTTTCACATTACTTTGTACAGTTTGGCAGCGTTTAGATCGGCCTCGTCTTCCCTCCTGAAAGTTGCTTTTGTAACTAATTATTGAATAATAGACATTACTAATAAAAGATACCGAGATAACAAGCCAACCACGGATTACAGTTTTTACAGCAGCATTTATCAACAGATAGATTCGTCCTTGTTCATAGTTCAGCCGTCACCAAGTCCC